AACTGGAGTGGACACGGGGCTCTGCTCTCCTTTTCCACACAGGACTTCAGCACCATCTACTCATCCTCTCAACACGCCTTCTTGCGCTCCGAAGTTTTAATGCCTAAAATCCCCATTCCCAAGTTGAATCTAGTGAGCTGTGATGACAGGGTGTGTGGGAAGAAATCTGTGAAGAAGTGTGAGAATTGTCTGCTTGGCCCTTAGGGTGGGGATTGGATGGGTAGAGAAGAAAAGACTATTGACTCAGAAACTGCCTCGTTCAGCCAAGTAGAACAGACCTGTATCAGCACATGTGCAAGCTACTGTGTTATCCCAGTCACCAGGGAACAGTATCAGTGCTTTGTTTATCAGTGGGTCTAATCACCTTCAACTCCCTTTGACTTCAAGCATTAAGCTTCTGCATAGTGGCAGATGGAAAATCAGAGTTGCAGTGACGGACTGAGGAGAACCCCTTTTGGAGCTCGCGCTGCAATGTTATGACGAGCTTCTCAGCTGCAGCTTAAAGGCCCAACAGAGATTTTTGTGATTTGACTTAAGGGATTGCTTTCAGACATGAAGCAAACAAGTGATTATGTATAAAGAAGATGTGGTAATGAGTTTCAGATGAGGTCTTTTATGTTTATTAAAAGAGGTCTGAAAGTTTGCTGCTACTACTATTTCTTGTTTTCTAACTTAAAGTCATCTTTGAATCTCATACTGCACACTGCTTACAAACTGCAAAATCCTATTACTGTAATATAGTGGAAAAAGTCTTAAAAATAAAATAAATCCAGTAGAATATAAATCTTTTTTTCCAGTGTATAGAAAAGCAATGAGCCATTTTAAAAGCAGGAAGAACATGCATTTCGAGATCCAATAGATCATCTAAATTGGTCCCAAACCAAGTTTTAAAATGGCATTGCAAAGACTTTTGCTTTGAATAAATTTAGCATTACAAAACTAAGAATATAAATAAAAATAAATTAGATTTGCCGATTGTTTTGTACTTTACTAATATTCTGATTTAACTAGGAAAAAAAAGTGCTTAATAGATAGGATCCTTTCTGACTATTCCAACTGTAGGACTTGAAAATATAAAACTAACATTTATGCCCTTTCAGTTACTTCTATCTAGCTTTTTATTATGAATAAACTTTGTGAATTTCTAGGCAATGTAAACTTTAAACCCTTGTTCCTTATTTTCTGACATTTGTATGTTTGAAATTTGGATTAGTGAATCTAAAATTTCTCACTTGCCTGACTTCCTGCAGCACTCTTGTAGATGGAGAATTATTCTAGATTGCCACATCATATATTTTCAATCCAAACCTTGTCTTCTCAATGGCGTACCTTGCGGCCAAAACAAGCCTGTGTAGGTCCACTTAATGTGAACACCTCATGGTTTCAGAGCTGCAGAAGAAAACAGTATCAGAAAAATGGCCTCTATTCAAAGAAAGCTGTCTTTGTAATAATAAATGACTGCACTCTCTTTATATTAGTTCTCTACTTTGCATGAAATTATAATGTCATTCTAATGGATTGCAAACCTTGCTGCCACCTCTGTGGGCTTTCTGTGCTACAGAGCATCTTCTTCTCTCTGGGCAGAGCGGAAGGGCAAATGTGGAAGTAGGTCTATAGCAGTATTTTTAGTATCTCCTCTCCTGGACTGAGTTTCAATGTGTTAACCAGCCTTCTGGAAAACTGAAATATTTTACTAAGAATGGACTCCTTGATTTCCATACCCCAGGCTTGAATTTGGGAATTAGAGACTGCACAAGGAATGCAGAATTGAATCCATAATGCTTAACACTGACAGTGGGTTGGTTTTGTTGATCTCTTATGATGTTTGAAGGTGCTAACAAGATTTCAGGGGTATACTACATCTTCTTGTATTATTTATTTACAAATTAGTCTTCAATAATGAGGCTCACATTAAAAAAAAAAAAAGCATCTCTTTTGGCCTTTAAAAACTTGATCTATGATGAAATCTGTTTTTTAGCCCAAAATATCCCCACCTAGTATTCTGTGCTGTGTTGCCTGTGAGCTGCTCAGAGTGATTCATTTGTAACTGCATTTCTGAACTAGAATGTGGAAACACAGAATCATAGAATGGTTTGGGTTGGAAGGGGCCTTAAAGATCATCTAGTTCCAACCCCTCTGCCATGGGCAGGGACACCTTCCACTAGACCAGGTTGCTCAAAGCCCCATCCAACCTGGCCTTGAACACTGCTAGGGATGGGGCATCCACAGCCTCTCTGGGCAACCTCTTCCAGTGCCTCACCACCCTCACAGTGAAGAACTTCTTCCTTACATCTAATCTAAATCTACCCTTTTTCAGTTTAAAGCCATTACCCCTTGTCCTATCACTACATGCCCTTGTAAAAATTCCCTCTCCAGCTTTCCTGTAGGCCCCCATTAGAGACTGGAAGGCTCTAAGGAAGACTATAGGATAGCTACCGGAAGGCCTCTGTAAAGTCTGCCCGGACCCTTCTCTTCTCCAGGCTGAACAACCCCAACCCTCTCAGCCTGTCTTCACAGGGGGGGAGGTGCTCCAGCCCCCTGATCATCTTCATGGCCCTCCTCTGGACTTGCTCCAACAGGTCCATGTCCTTCTTATGCTGGGGGCCCCAGAGCTGGATGCAGTACTCCAGGTGGGGTCTCACCAGAGCAGAGTAGAAACAGGTATGATTTAGTGGAAGTGCTCACTGAAGGCACCAATGCATGTAAGGTGCAACTCTGCAGGTACTGATGGTTAAACCCAAACATATTCTGTTGCTTTAATGAGTTGATATGTCTACTATCTTATTACATAAAATACCTTTTATTACAAATGTATTAGGAGTAGAATTTATGTGGTGGATAATTCTTTCTTTGGCATTAGTGAATTAAGTCCCCCCCCCCCCCAAACACATTTTGGGTTAGACAAAGAAATTGATAAACATTTTAAACTAGAGAGAGATATTCCAATGCAGCTTAATTTCTGTTTTTTTTCCCTTTATAATTCTTCTTTACTTGTCTATTCAACTTATCCCACTCTTCCATACACTTTTTTAAAAGCATTCTTGTAGCAATAATGTTACTTGCTCTTTCCATTTCAGTGAAATGTGTAATTCTTCATTTTGTTAATTATCAAGGACAGCAAAGATTACGTGTTGTACTTTGAACCCCTACATTCTACAGTCAATATTTTTATATTCTTGAATTATTACAGTATTGATTCCTAATTGTCTTGTTCTTCTCTCCTACATAAAAAGCTGCACCATTAAATCTTGCAAAACTTCATTTTCCAGCTCTACTTTTCACTTACAATCTCACCTTATGGTTTCACCTCCAGTTCACCATCACATCATTGTAAGACCACTTATGTATTTGCTTTATTCCATTCCTTTATTATATTTTAATTTAAGGAAGCTGTGACAAGATCTCTTACTTTGAATACCTTTTTAAAAGTTCTTCAGAGCCAATCGTCTGAATAGTATATTAGAAGTTTTCAAAGATTGTGTCAGTGAGCATCTTGATAGTGACTGCTTCTTCTGCTCTTCACAATGTGAAGAGTAGCACCTTTTCCATTTGGAATCATACCTTACTTTGTGGTAACTACTCTAGGCAGTGCTTATGTAGAAAGGTATTATTAAAAAAGGTGCTAGGGATTTGAATCTGTGAAGTGGGATTGTTAAATCTACTTCAAAAAAAGTTGCTTTTCTGTCTAGCTCTTTTTTTCTTCCCCTATTTTGACATTTTTTTATGTGTTTCTACCTGGATCCATGTGTATATGCCTGCTGCTGTGGCCATGTCTGGCTATTCACATTGTGCATACTTTCCTGTTTCTTGGTTATACTCCCCAAAAAGCCAGTTCCCTCCTCCTCCATTTCCTTGAACAGGTACCCTGTCATTTAGATTTTCCTTTTTCTTGCCACTTTGTTCCTTGCTTCACCAAATGTTTTTCTTGTTTTTGATGATAATATTTATGCTGCTGTCCTTGCAGGTGGCTGTTACTTCCTCCCCCCCCATCTTGTAGCAGAGGAGAGTCAGCTATTTTTCCTTCTTATTTCCAAATGCATTTATGAGTACCCAAGCTTTTAATTGCAATTAGCAATAGAGTTGGTTATAGAAACAACTGTATACAAATAGTAACCAGTATCAAGTAGTCTACGGATTTTTTCCAGACCACTAGCAAGCATTTGCCTGACCATAATTTGAGAACTGTTTGAATTGCATTATGAGAACAATAAAATTGCATGCTTGAGCATTTAGAGAGCAAGAAATGAGAAAATCAAGGCTACATACACCTTCTGGGCTGATAGAACGCTTTTGTTTTTTTTTTTCTTTCTTTTTTCTTTTTTTTTAATTTTCTTTTAGGGTTTCTAGAGGAAAACAGTTATGTAATGCAGAGCAATTTGGTGAGGTTCTGTATTAAGACATTCTTGCTTAAGAAAATCTTTGGAATATCCCTTATTTTGGTTGACAGGGTTTTGTGCTTACTGCAGAAAAGTACAGTAAGGCCCATTTGTTAAGAGACTTATGCGATATACACTGGAGAATAGTGAAGAACCATATCATTGCCCTATTTGCCATGTCTTTGTTAAATAATTCTGTTTCTAGATTACTGATCTGTGCCCAAATCTGTGTAGTGACTGCAGTATCTGATTGCCTACTTCGTGGCTTTAACGGGCAAATTAAATACAGGATACAGAACACTATTTTCCATGAGTTATATATTTAATAAGTCAAGATGATTTTTTTTTTTGAGTCCTTTATGCATATGTCAAGTTAGGACTGTTTTAATGCTATTTCATGTTTTGACTATTCTACTTTTTCTGTTCATGCTTTGGTGCTAAAAGTGCTTTCATTCTTTATTATATTTTAACAAGTAAAAGAATCTTAGTCTGAGATAAAGTGGGAAAATCTATGTAGAAAAGAAATAAAACATTTCTTAAGTGACCAAAAAAAAAGGGAATTAGAAAAAAAAAAAGCTGATGATATTTACTAATACCTAAATATGTTTGATTTACTTACTGTAGGTTGATGCCTTGCGGTTACGATTGGAAGAAAAAGAAACCTTTCTGAATAAAAAAACAAAACAACTTCAAGACCTCACAGAAGAGAAAGGAACCCTGGCTGGAGAGATTCGAGATATGAAAGACATGTTGGAAGTAAAAGAAAGAAAAATCAATGTCCTTCAGAAAAAGGTAAGATCACACTGATTAAAGGATATGTTGTAAAACTTTTGAGGAACATTTAAAGGAAATCTATTTATTTCTTATAGCGTATTACTTTTAATATATTTAAAAAGTGCAAGGAGTAAGTCTGTAATAATCAAGTTCTCTAATATGAAATGTGTTACTGTTTTCCATGGGATTATTTCTATACTATTGTATCTTAATTATATTATATCACAAAAACATTAAGTGCTGCAGCTTCTGCAAAATTATTGGAGTTAAATGAAAGTCCTAAAAACTCTGACAAAACTTCTTATTCCTCAACATAAGGGATTCCATTATCCTTACTAACACGGATTACTATTACTACTCTTTCCAAATAATGTAAAATAAAACATGTGGGACTGCTAAAAGATAGGATACTGCTTTTTTATTTTAAAGACTTTTTTGGTGGGGGGGAAGAGGGGAGGAAGGAAGGAACCTAAATTAAGCCGATTATCTGCTTTTTCTGTGAGCGAAAGACATTAAGAAGGGAGGCTTGCTCTGAACAGCCTTATTAGTCTTATTTTTAATTTTCCACAAATTTAGCTAACTGCATTTACTTTCTTTGGGAAGTTGGATTTAATCATTATAGTTTCCACTTGGGGGAGTGGGGAGGGAATTTCCTGGAAAGGCAGATCTTCAAGGGTTCTGCATACAGTAGTAGAGTGTTTATTTACCATATACTTTTTCTTACACTCACAGAAATGTTTATGCTAGCAGGTATGTTGTGCGTATCACTCTTTTTCATATATAGATGCACTTGTGAGCATACAGATGAATGGAGAAAAAGTTCTTGACATCAGATACAGTTTACTATTACTTCTCCCCTCCTTTTACAGCCACTCAAAGAATGTCTACTCCTTACTCTCTGTTATTATGTAGGTAGTCCATGTTACTGTGGTTTTCCTCCAGGATTCATATAGTCATACAGCTCACATAGTCTAGCTGTGCTTCTGTCTACCATTGGTTAACTACAGTGTTTAAAAAGCCAACTCCTTATTTTTGAGAAAATGAGAAGACTGCTTTTTCAGGCCCAGGAAATAAGGCCTATCAAAACTGGAGTATAGGTACTCATCCACTTAAATCTTATTTCTAAATATTTGCCTTGTTAGCAATGCTTACAATGATGTAAAGATAGCAAACCTCAAGCCTTTTGTCCTGTGCTGAATGCTAATTAGTTTTGGACATCACTTGAGAATTTTGAAGAAAAGAATGCATCTTTTCTCATGGTTTCTATTATTAAAAAACCCCAAACAAAGCAACAATTTACAGCTGGTCTTGTATTTAGATCTTGAGGAGATGCATCAGTAGGAGGAATCTGGATTCAGTGATCAAAATTGTGTGATAAATACAACATATCACAGAGCTGTCAGCACTATCTGTCATGGCTATGTGCTCAGAAATATGCAATATAGTATGTTTTTCTGTTTTTAATACATCATGGATATTTTATTAGGGCTTGCAGATTGTCTTGCCTTTTTTGCACCTGCTTCTTAATGAAAACAATCACTCTCAAACTGCACTATCTCTCTTCACTAAATCATAGAGTAAACACATGTTATAGCCTTGTAAGCTCTAGTATACAGTGTGATAAATCCTGTGAACTACTAGGTGCAAAATCAGAGTTAGTACTAAATTGGTTCTTTAAAATTGGAAGTAGCATCTGAATTTTTTTTTGAGGTTTTTATTCTAGTAAATATGCTTCATGAGGGGCCTTCTGAAGTTCAGTTTTTCTGCTATGGGCCAAATACTGGGCTTACTTAGAGAAGAATGAATGATGATGATTACTTTAAAAAAAAAAGAGAAAAATAGTTCATTTACATCACGTGAAAGCTATGTGTAATTTGGTTCTCTGAGCATTTTTAATAACCACATTATCTTAATATGTAGATGTTAGCATGCCCCAAAATGCTAATATCAGATCATTGTCACACCATTATTTTGTTTATAGGAAAAGAAGATCATATTTGGAAAACACATTTTTAAAATTACCCTCAGGTCACATTTTCAGCTTTGGATATTATTTTACTTGTGCCTCACTTCTGATATGTTTGGAGATAAATTCACTCACAGATAATTTGACTAGAGAAAAATTTGATTGAAATATCATCCTGTTCTACTCACCCCTGCTATTTAAATAAATCGAGAGTATGATACTATAAAGGAGGCTTTCGCTGTTCACTTTTCATGTGCCTGGTGTACAATTCCAAAGTAGAAAATTTTGTATGTCACCAATGGAAATCCAGGCTTCTAAATTCATCTGGAAAAAAATAGTAATCTACTTGCCTAGTTAATCCAAGTGTTCAACTTCATTTTGGCAGTGCATATTAGATCATAACTTCTCATGGTTAGTCTCCTTGAGCATTCCAGCATCCTTGGCAGCAGATGCAATCTCATCTCTGGACCACAACACTTGCATGTAGAAAGGAAGATGTTCAGTGTCTGTCTACTTTTTTTCAAGAAGCTTTCCTGGCACTAGTGCCTTTCTGGTTTAGATAATTTTATCCTCACTACATGAAGTTACATGTTCTAGGGCATTCATACTTCATAGAGTCTTTATGTTCTGTCAAAGACAAAGGGAGCACAGCTCCTTTTTGACCATAGGCAGATTGTTCATTCAGTCATGTGTTATTTCAGAAATATGTTGGACTATGTATAGTAGTAATTCCTAGTGCTGTAGTATTCTTATTGTAAAATTTTTGAACAGTCACTTTTCAGGGATTTTCAGTTACTCTAGTAGTGGATGCTGTGCTTTAAGAAAAAGATCGTGTGATGTACCTCTTTTCTTTCCAGTTTTGACAACATACCTTTCCAATAGCAACCATATATAAGAATAAATTTTGATGGAAAAATATTTCATATATATTGATTGCAGTAATTTTATCCTTTACTTGAATCTAATTATGATTTTATCCTTTAATCCTTGCTGAATTGCACGTGCCTTTTGCATTCCTCCAGTTTTTGCTCATCTTCTCCTTCTGACCTTTAGGCCACTTCTTCCACTATTATTTTCACTTCAAGTGATGACAGCCAGACATTTGCCTGCTGAGCATTTAGAAATTAATTTGTTCTCATTGTGCACATATATGTGGAGAATTCAGTGGGTGGAAAGCAACATGGACCATTTCATATGACACTTAGGAGGTGAAACAATTACTGGGCCTGCAAGTGGATTGTCCTGCCTTTACATACCTTCTTTCAGGACTTTGCCCTGGTTGCTGTCTTACTCTCATGAAAACCCTTCTGCAAGTGAAGAAATTGCTTCTAGTTCTTCTTCCTAAGTTCTCTCTAGACATTAGATTCTTCTGACTGTAATATTATAATGCTTGTCTCCATTTTCTTTTTTCTGTGCAGTGCCAAATTTTATATCTATGCATTTTTACTATGCATTTACTTTTGATATAAGGACTTGTGAATAACCAGTTATTTTAGTGCCTTCATTTGCTGATGCAAGATAGATGGCTACATCTCTCTCCGCTCAGGCTGAAGTGCTTCACTCAGCCTAAAATAATATTCATTTTAATGGTTGTATTCAAGTAATTGAAGAAGGAAGAATTTGTATATAGTGCTTAAAAATATTTTTGTCACTGATAAGCTGAAACTGAGTAGGAAGGAATATGTAACCTGGAAAGATGCAATTTCTAATTCTATATTCTTTCTCTTGTGCACATTACTGTTATCTGCCATGTTGAAAAATACAGAGGAAACCAAACCAAAACCAGAAAAGCTCCCTGTCAAAGTTGGAGCTGTTTCTTCTTCTTTCTGGAGAGCTGTTATACTTGGAGAACAGGACAGGTTCTGTTGAGGGCTCCCTACCAAAGGTGTTGAAGAAACAACAACATTGGCAACAAAACAGCTGTGGTGAGTCCCAAGAGGTGACATAGGAACACACTTAAGGCAACATGTTGCAGAAAGAAGTAATGGGCTAGATAATGAACTAATGATGCATTGTCCTTCCATGCAGTGGTTTTGGTGTAATTTTTGACCAAATTGAAAAATTGCTACACTATTCAGTATGATTTGCAGGTTTAAGGGAGGCCCAGCACTGGAACAGCATGCATTTAGAGGATTTGGATCAAGGCAGATTGGCATGGAGTAATAATAAACTCATGTCAATGTCAGAGGTGCTATATTACTTAATATTTCTTTCTTTTAGAATCTTTGGCACCACTGTTCCATTTTAGTGCCAGTAAAGTTGGGTATGCTGTTTTAATAGCCTTGTTTAACCTGGCAAAGCTAGTCTTACACCTCATATCTGTCAGTTTAGCATGCAGAGGGGCAGACCTCAGAAATCTTTATGTATTTCTTACTAGAACATGCAAGTTCTATGAATATGGCCAAGTTGTAGGCTGAAGGGTAGAAGTGCTGAACTGGATGATAATTCTTTCGTGTCCCTCTTTCCTCCCAAATTTTCTCTTTCATACAGTGGCTATACCTGGTGTGTTTTATCCTCTAAGAATCTGTAGATTTTTTTAAAAAAACAATTACATACTCTGAAGTATCAGTCTCGGTGCTGAAAACAGTAGCTGTTGAGACAAGAACAGCATAGGGGATGTAGACCTGGATCATATTAGGACAACAGCTTGTGGAAATTCTTTTGTGGGGACTACTATAAAAGAACACCATGTAAAGGGGGCTAATATAATATTCTACTTTGACTTGCAACATAACTTTTCATGTAAAATGTTACAGTTTCTATCTTTAATAGTTTAAGCTTTGTGATTGATGAAGTGCTACATGACTGAGGGCCCTAACCTACCAGCTAATTAGCATTTGTAGGAAATGTCATAAAGTCTTAGCTCTCATGTAATAATTGGAATCTGTACTTGGAGTGGCTGGGCTGTGCACACTAAGTGATATTGCCCAGTTCAGGTTAAATTAAAATGTGTTGTACAATTAATTGTATGCATTACTGTTAGCTGTCATCTAAAAAAGAGGGAATTTACATACAGTCAGATTAGGAGTATATTAGCGTAAACAAATGAGTC